CACTTACCTCGCGCGGCATATCTCTAAGCCCCCTCCAACAATCTAAAGTGGTGCCGTTATCCTGTGATCTAGGCCTCCCAGATTTCGGCCTCGGCGCCACCCGCATCGCCGACCTGAAGTCGAGGCTCACAATCGTAATTCACAGCGCCTGGGCCGTCAACTTCAACATCCCCGTGCAGAGCTTTGAAGACCAGCATATCAAGGCAGTACACAACCTCATCCAGCTGTGCCAGTCCGTCGAGACACCCAATCCCGCACGGTTCTTCTTCTGCTCATCCGTCTCCGCGTCAGGTGGGTCGCCTAGGCACGGTAATGTGCCGGAGGGACCGGTCCCGACGCCGGCATGGGCGCAGGGAACGGGCTATGCGCGGTCCAAGTGGGTGTCTGAGCATATCACGCGTAATGCGAATCTGAACGCCGGTGCGCCTGCAAGAGTTTTGAGGATCGGGCAGCTTGTGGGTGACAGTAAGGTCGGCGAGTGGAACACGACTGAGGGTATTCCATTGATGATTCAGACGGCTGTCACGCTTGGTTCCTTGCCGAATCTAGATGAGGTGAGTCTTACGCGAACAGTTTGGGGAAAGCGATGACTCTGATGTGGTATTAGGAGATGACATGGCTGCCCGTCGACCATGCCGCAGCGGCCATCTTGGAACTCGTCAATGCCGACGCGACCCCGCAACCGAGCGAGCGCGATACCGATCCCGACTTGGTGTACCACGTCCTTAACCCGACGCGCTTCCACTGGACCCGTGATATGCTTCCATCCCTATCCGAAGCTGGTCTGCAGTTTGAGATACTCCCGACTAATCAGTGGATGGACAAGTTGCGGCAGTCTAAACGGGACCCGAAGAAGAACCCGCCGATCAAGCTCCTGGATTGGTTTGAGAGCAAGTACGGACGTACGGCTTCTGCGAATAAGGGAGTCCTGGCATATTTAACGGCGGAAACTGAGAGGGACAGTCCAACGTTGAGAGAACTACCGGATGTCACGGATGTAAGGTTCATCACGACGTTGGTCGAGAGGCTAAAAGCTCGATGGGCGGCGGATGATAGTGCATGAGGGAGTGCGGGTATTTCTATTCCTTGTCTAAATTCTGGACCATCTCAGAAATCGAGAGCGTTGCCCATATTTGCCATCTAACAATCACCACAATTTGATCGGGTTGTGACTACTTCTTTCCTCATGCGGGAGCGTTCCAAGATGAACATAAATGAATTCATACTTGATAAACGTGTTTGCGCGCGAAAAGAACGAATGCCACTGCGCAATTGGCCCCCATCGTCACTCAAGGTTCCATGACCTTTGCCAGATTCACCCCAATGAGCCAGACACAAACTGAATCTAATGCACCGTGTCGCTTGCCATCACGAGGCCCAATTTCCCATTCTAAAATGTCATGAAATCAAAGCCGTAGCCCCCTCAAAATGCGCCATATCCCTAGAGTTTTGGTATCTACAAAGCCCATGTAGTATTTACAAAGCAGCAGCAGCGAGAGCGACGGCGCCGAGCATGCCGTAGTATGCGTTCGTCGGCCGTGCAGCGGCGGCGGGTGTAGCGGTGGCAGACGCGGCGGCGCTGCTGCTAGCGGTAGCGGCCGCGGTACCGAGGACGCCGGTTACGAGGTTCGATGCCGATGCGAGGTCGGATGCGGCCGGGTTGCTCTGAACTTCGGAGCAGATTGACGGTGCGATTTTTGCAGCCGCTATAAGAACTTTTGTTAGCCACCTATACAATGAATGGGACACGAGTTACAGGGTGTGCAACATACCGGCGATCTCTGTTGTGGAGCAGCCAGCAGTGAGCACGCAGGGTGTCAGGCTGGAGATGAGCTTGTCCTGGCTGGCGCACAAGCAGGTGAAGTCGGTCGCGGAGCAGCCAATGTTGCTGGCGGCGGTGCTGATGCAGCCTACGGCGCAGCTAGGGAGCTGGGCGATGAGGCTGGCCAGACCAGTTGAGCTGGAGGATGCGGCGGAGGTGGTGGCCGACTGGGCGGCGGCAAGGCCGGAGAGGAGTCCGAAAACGATGGCGTACTTCATGGTGACGGTGTTGAGTAGTTCTTCGCTGAAGAGGCTTTGGGATGTCAATCGAGTGATGAGCGAGATCTTTGGTGGCTGATCAGAGGTTCATAGGATGATCAGTATGTTTGTTCGAGGAGTCAAGAACGATGTTTGATCGTAGTGACAGACGAAATGAAGAACAATTAGAGGCCTGTAAAGAAAAGTGGCACTTTCAATATTGCTGCTGCAGGTATGAATCGTTTGTGAAAGACCAAGGGGTTGACTGAGAAGACACAGAAGCACAAGTGGAATCGATGGGAAAAGACGATTGATTTAATATACTGGAAACGATCATCTCTGGAGATGAACCTTGAGGAGCCACAAGGGAGGTCTAGACTCAAATCTTAACACAACCAAGAACCGAACGACGCTGCCCAGCAAGATACGAGACGTGCGCCAAGGGGCAGAAGAGAAGGATTCAATACGACGGGTTACTGCTGCTAGGCTCATATTCGGTACGCCGCGAGTACGAATAGTCAATCTCGGAGCCCTTGGCTGAAATTGAAGCTGTTTGGCTCCGTGCGATCAGCGGAGTTTACCAAGCAACTAAGAGAGCTCCGGTTTTCTTGCAACACTGCCTCGATGCCGCGCGGTCCATCCTTGGCGGCAATGAACAGCGTGTTTGTTCCATGGAGCAGCGTCGGCAATGGCCAGTTGCAGGTTGATGGCGGGATAATGCACGCCAGACTGGTTGGTCAGGTCAGCACCTGTTATGGTCTATTCTGTCTGTTGTAGATGCTCAACGAGCGAGACCGAGCAAGACGTCAAAGTTTGAAGGCGGCGATGGCGTAAGCTTTGTTGAGTTCGGACGAGGCTTCCTGTGGCGATTCAATGTTGTCTGTCCTGCATGACAGATTTCATCCAAACGCAGGCTGCAGCTCAAAGTCTAGATCTCAGGGTTCTAGATACGCGTTAGAACACCCCGTCTGTTCACCCAGGTCAACCAGGTCACTGCTCAACCCGCGGGAACCGGACGAACAGAGTGTGGAAGGGAAGAAAGAAAGAAAGGGGCTTCACTGCATCTCTTTGCCCCCGTTTCAACGTGATGTCATTCTTATTTTAGCGGTTCACCCCTGACATGACTCCGCCGGATTACTGCTTGGCAAGGGGTCCCTAGGCACGCGGTAGATGTTCAGGCGCTGGCTCACTCATCCCCAGTGAAGGAAGTGTAGCACTGACAGTTTGTCGCTCAGTGAGTTTCGACTGAGGGTCATTCATTGCCATCCCAGGCTCACTGAAATCTCACCCACCGTGCAGCCAATCTCATTCATTTTCACTGGACCGGAGAAATTCGGGCAGTGTTTGATTGGCATGAAACACCTAGCGGATCCCTTGTCAGCTGTCGTCTCAAGCGAGGGAACACAAGCTTTGGCACGTCGGCAGTCTTCAGATGGCAGTGCATCCTGATCTTCGTTTGAGAAAGGCTCACCCTGTATCCGTCCGTGTATGCACGCTGTAATGCATACACTGCGGCGCGGATGCTGCCGATTGTGTCAATCGCACGAGTCGGCGGAAGGAACTGCTAAAGTAGCTAGCTCACTCGCGGAGATCGTGTTTGCATGTGGAGTTGTCTATAAGATGAAATACCCCAGAGGAAGCTTCGCGGCTGGTGACTTAGCCTTGAAGTACAGCCCAGTACTTTGAAACCGTCTCATCCAGGAGGACTCCAGCAGGAACACTGCTGGCTGTAACGGAATGCTGCTACTCCGCTGCATCAGCTACCGGCACCGCACTCGGTTCCACGGCCGGCAGATTCGGAAGCGGACCCAATGCATCGCATCCCGCCTGCTCGCAAAGGAGTGTCATTGGGCCTCACAACGTCCGTTGTCATCAGCTGGCTCGAAACTTACCTGTTCATGCTCAGCACCTCGTTCGTTCGTGAGAGGGGCTAAACAATGGGCGGTGCTTTGCAAATGCTGAGAATCGTTTGCCCTTCCAGTCTGGCTCGGAATACCTCGCTCAAATATTTCCATCTCACGCATGTCCTATTACTCGTCTTTCAAACAGTCATTTCATTGGCCATTGACTCTCTTACCTCCCTAACTTTTGAGAGACCATGTTCCAGCTCAATGACTCTCTTCGTTCATACACAGCCTTCCTCGGCATTGCCTGGCAAGCCTGCTCACCCTGAAGCGTGAACCAAGTCAGCTCAAACGCACAGAAGATGGCAGGTGAGTGCCACAATAGTTTGTCGCTCAACACCCTAGCTATCTCAACTCTTCCCCTTCCTGCTACTAGTCTACCACTACTCTGGCGTTGGCCGGCATCGACTTCTTCTCGTCGCCCACTTGAATGGCCAAGAAGATCCTAGGGAATGGAGGCGGTGCAGCCAGGCTAGACGTGATGTCATTTCGCCTATGCATTCCCGACCGAATTTCAGCTTCTTTCGGTCATTGAACTCAGGTGAGAGTACGTGTGCTAAGACTCGGCTTTCGAGTGAGATATGCAAGAGCTATTTTCATGATCCCAAGCTTCACCCCAAGTGTACAAAGGTTTCATTCATAGTCAGGTGCCTAAAAAACTCACGTGTGAGATTAGGCAATTGAAGTCTTGGCCGACTTCATGTTCGCGATTGATGGGGCAGCCACGACGGAGGCCAGGTAATACTCCATACAAAGCATACAGTATGACTCAGCGAATAAATGTCTGCAAGCCTCTGAAGAACCCGGTCGGCAAAGCGTAGCGGTGCCGACGGCAAAAAACTCACGGTGCCGAGCTTTTCGGTGTCAGCGCCGGTTTTCAGGACCCACTCCGGGCGATACTGGCAACCGCCGGCACCGAAGGATTGGCTGCCGTGTATAGAGCATAACGGCGACTGGCGATACAAACTACAATTCTCCACCAGCAACATCTTCTTGATCAAGTTTTCTCTATAAAGGACAAGATTCTCCCAAGAGTATTTCTCAACAAACACTTTTACATCCCATGATCAAGGCATCATGCCAGCCACAGAAACCGGCCCGCCTGTCAGCGGCGTAACGCCATCGTCTTACCATCTTATTTGGGAAGATCTCTCTCTCGTTATCAACGATGTCGATCTTTCAATTTCTACTGTCCGCCGTGACGGGCCGCTTGATCCCATACTCTTCCTCCACGGCTTCGGGAGCACCAAAGAAGACTTCACGGATGTAATCCATCACTCGCCCCTTTCCGACTATCCTTTACTCGCTTACGATACCCCCGGCAGCGGTGCATCCATCAGCTCCGACTACAGCGCCATCTCCATACCATTCCTCGTCGCCGTAGCTGAGGCAGTTCTGGACGCTCACAAGATCAAACGGTTCCACCTCGTGGGCCACTCCATGGGCGGCTTGACGGGCTTGCTGTTAGCACAGCGCAACCCAGGCGCGGTACTAAGCTTCACCAACATCAAGGGCAATCTTGCTCCCGAGGACTGCTTCTTGAGCAGACAAATCTTCGACTTCCCGGCAAGCGATACGGAGATGTTCATCGCATCCTTTATCGAGCGGACTCGGCGATCAGCGGATTACGGGAACGGGATTTATGCAGCAAGTTTCCGTTCTAAGGTCAGGCCGGAGGTAGTAAGGCCAACTTTCGAGTCCATGGTTCATTATACCGACAAAGGAGACTTACTGGAGGTGTTTGAAGCACTTCCGTGTTCAAAGATGTTCATTTTCGGTGTATCCTACAACACATTATCCTATCTCTCACGGATCGCACATGCGGGCGTCGAGCTAGCCGAGATTCCAAACAGTGGACATTTTGTCCTGTAAGTCAACATACCCACTTCCTGGCACCCCCCTGTTTCTGGCACCACAAAAACGATGGGATCACAACCCAACCTCCTCATTACTATTAACTATTGATCCTCAACCACACCCACTACAATACAGCTGCCAGCCTCACTAGGGCATTCAGAGTCGCTGGATTCAGCCGTGATAACCTCCTTTTCACCCGCTTCGATTTGAGCCCGATGGATATCCCTGATGTTCGCGAACTTCGTATTGGGATCG